AGCATGTCTCACCCACCCCCTCCCCTCTTTCCCCACTTCCCCCCTTCTGCCAGGTGCCTTCCCATGCCCTGCATGGTGCCTTCTCATGCCCTGCCCGGTAAATTCTCATGTCCTGCATGGTGCCTTGGCATGCCCTGCCAGGTGCATTCGCATTCCCTGCATGGTGACTTTCATTTCCTGCCAGGTAAGGGGGTAAGGGGGTTTAGGGTGCTCCCCCCGCTCACTTTCCCTGCTCCCCCCGCTCACTTGCTCTGCTCCCCCACCCCAACTCCTCCCCTCCCCTTGCGCAGGTGCCAGAAAGATGCATGGATGTATGAACACAAAAGCAAAACAATGTACTAGGGCACATAAAAATCATGTGCCTTCTCATTCCGTCAAGGTGCCTTGCCGTTCCCTTCATGATGCCTTCTCATTCCTTGCATGAAGCCATTTTCCTCCCCTTTCCAGCAGGTGCCAGTGCAAGGCATAATGTTTTGAGGTGTCACACTCAACACCTCCCCTCTGTCCTCCCGTTTCCAGCAGGTGCCAGTGTAGCGCATGTTGATTGAAGAGGTCTCACTCACCCCGTCCCCTCTTTCCATCCCAAAATTTCCTGTTTGTTTGTTTGTTTGTTTGTCTGTTTCAGTTTGTTTTGCTTGCTTGTTTGTTGTTCCTGTGTGCATTCTTTGCTCAAGGGGGGGGTGTAAGGGGGCATGGGGAACTGTGAGACGTCCAAGCCACCCTCTCCCCTCCCCTTTCTGCCAGCTGCCAGTGCAGCGCCTGCCCATTTGAGCTTGTCTCACCCACCCCCTCCCCTCTTATCCCACTTTACCCCTTCTGCCAGGTGCCTTCTCATGCCCTGCAAGGTGCCTTCGCATGTTGCACGGTGCCTTCACATGCCCTGCATGGTGCCTGTTCATGCCCTGGCTGGTGGATTGCATTCCCTGCATGGTGACTTTCATTTCCTGCCAGGTAAGGGGGTAAGGGGGTTTAGGGTGCTCCCCCCGCTCACTTGCCCTGCTCCCCCCGCTCACTTGCTCTGCTCCCCCACCCCAACTCCTCCCCTGCCCTTGCGCAGGTGCCAGTTTCTCCTGTCGCCAAGATGAAGATACTTTGCACAGGGAGCAGATGCGTTGCCAGCTGCTTGTGTGGCCGTCCCTCATCATCCATGCGCGGGACATGAGAGAGAACAAGGGAGAGAAACAGAAGCAGGAGGAGGGAGCGCAGCGCCATGCCGTACTGCATGCCCCACCAAACCAGCCGCATGTGCGTTGTGAGTCGCCTCAGAGCATGCACTGCACACCTTGCCATATCCCTCACACCTGCCATCCCACCATGCCCTCACACCTCCTGCCATCCCCTCACTTGCCCTGCTCCCACCGCTCACTTGCTCCGCTCCCCCTCTCCCCCACTCCAACTCCCCCCCTCCCCTTGCGCAGGTGCCAGCTTCCCTCCTGTCGCCAAGATGAAGACACTCGGCTTGCGATGTGCAGAGTGGTAGGAGGGATGAATCTGATCACGTTAAGAACATAAATGTATGTGCCTGTTGTTATACATGCAGGGGGAGGGGGGGGGGGGGGAAGTGCAGGTTTGGTTTGGGCCAGGTTTGGGATATCAAAGAGTGGCAGAAACGGAAACAGGGAGTAGATGTGTTGCCACCTGCTTGTGTTCAGCCATGCGCAGGGCGGGACATGAGGGAGAAGAAGAGAGAGAAACAGATGCACAAGGAGGGAGCGCATGTGCCATTTTCTCCTGTCGACAACATGAGGCTATTTGCTACGACGCGTAGAGTGATAGATGACTTATAGATTTGATGACCTAGCGAATGTGAATGTATGTGCTTGTTATTATATACGCAGGCGGGCAGAGAAAGCGGGGAGGGGTGAGGGAAAAGGGAGGGGAGTGGGGAGCAGAAGCAGAACAGAAGAGGGAGTGGTGGATGAGCTCCTGGCTCTCTGTGCTGTGCGCCCCTCCCTGGTTGGCCATATCATGCCATGCCATGCCATGCCCGGGAGGGATATGATAGATAGGAAGCACAAAGAAGAAGCAGAAGCAGGAATGTGATATGACAGGGAGCAGATATGCATGGGCCATGCCCAGGGATTTCCAGGGCGGTTCGAGGGGGGCTGTGAGGGGCTGTGAGGAGAATTGGGGGGTAGGGGGGCCTTAGGGGGGCCTTGGGGGGGCTGTGGGGGGGTTTTTTTCAGGATTTTAGGGGGGTTTCCCCCTCTCTTGTACCCCATCTCTGCTTATTAATCAATCACAAACAAGCTTTCTGCCATCACCCTTCCGATTACGCTCATGTTGTCGCCTTGCCGCCTGAGGGAGGTGGAGGGGAGTAAGGGGGGAAGGGAGAGGAGGGCAGAAGGGAGAGCAAGGGGGGATGAGAGAGACGATATGCGCTGCTTGTTTTGATTTGCACACTGAAGGAGAGTGTGAGAAGGAGAGTGAGAGAAGGAGGGTGTGAGAAGGAGAGTGTGAGAAGGAGTGCCATACAGTGAAGTACTCGGATATCTTGGGCACTGCAAAGCAGAAGCGTTGCAAGGAATGTGATCCAGATGATCCAGGTGGTCCGGGGCCCTCCTCCTGAAATACGTATGTCAAGATGTTGACCAGAGTGGGAGCCAGGGCAGTGTATGTAAGGGGTGGTGTATGTAGGGGTGGGCAGGGCAGGTGCAAACGTAGGGGATAACGAGTGACAGAAATTGAAGGGAGAGTGAGAATTGAATGAAAGAGGGGGACAAAGAAGAAAAGTGGCACAAGTTCACTGCAGGTAGGCAGGATAAGTGACCAGCACAGGGGGGTGAAGTGACAAGGGCAGGCGGGTGAAGTGACAAGGGCAGGCGGGTGAAGTGACAAGGGCAGGCGGGTGAAGTGACAAGGGCAGGGGGGTGAAGTGATGAGACCTGCTTTCCAAGGTCAAAACAAGGGCCCATTGCTGACCTTCTAATACTCACCGACACGGCATGCCTCATGCGCCGACCTGTTGTGTGAAACCTGCCCCATCCTCACACCACACATCAAATCAAGCACTAGACCAACACCCCCATGCCCTCTCACACACCTCCTCTGCAGCAGGGCTACTGGCATCACTACCCACCAGCAGCACAAGCAGCATGTTCAGGAGTCATCTCAGACCACACCTCAACACCAGACCAACACCCTCATGACCTGTAACCTCACTCACTTCCCCTGCTGCACGGCTGCTGGCGTCACTCCCCACCACCAGCACCAGCACCAGCATCAGCAGCAGCAGCATATCCAACCACATGCGAGTGATTCGACTCAAAGCACACCTCGACCACTACACTGGCACGCCCATTGCCCTGTCACCTCACCCATCTGCTCTACAGCAGGGCTACTGGCGTCACGCCCCACCACCAGCACAAGGCTATCAGCAGCGAGTCCAGCACCTACACACCCCGTGCCCTGCTCTGCTGCACCACTCACCTGCTCTGCTGCACCACTCACCTGCTCTGCTGCACTACTCACCTGCTCTGCTGCACCACTCACCTGCTCTGCTGCACCACTCACCTGCTCTGCTGCACCACTCACCTGCTCTGCTGCACCACTCACCTGCTCTGCTGCACCACTCACCTGCTCTGCTGCACCACTCACCTGCTCTGCTGCACCACTCACCTGCTCTGCTGCACCACTCACCTGCTCTGCTGCACCACTCACCTGCTCTGCTGCACCACTCACCTGCTCTGCTGCACCACTCACCTGCTCTGCTGCACCACTCACCTGCTCTGCCGCACCACTCACCTGCTCTGCCGCACCACTCACCTGCTCTGCTGCACCACTCACCTGCTCTGCCGCACCACTCACCTGCTCTGCTGCACCACTCACCTGCTCTGCTGCACCACTCACCTACCTACCCACTGTTCTTCCTCCCCTGTAGCCTCGCATACCTTCCTGGGCCCTGCAGCGCGCAGCATGTCACATGCACTGATGGCGTCTGCTTGAGTCCGGATGCTGCGAGGGAAATGCTGGAGAAATGACTTGGGAGAAATGCTGGAGAGATGACTTGGGAGTCATAAACGGCAGCACTTGACACTCGTGGTGCTGGGGAGTAGGGTAGATCAGGTACCTCGGAAGCTGAGAATGATAGGGCTTTAAGACCAACACGCTAGAGCTCTGAAGATATTTACATGAGGCCTGTGAGAAATTCCCCGAGCCTGTGGTGGCTGCTCCTGCTGGCCGTCTAGCAGATCTACCTCCCCCAGGTCCGCCTTCCCCGGATGGCGCACGCGCGGATGCGTACGGATAAGCGGCGGAGAGAAGTCGGGGGAGGGGAGTGCGGAGAGGGCGGCGGAAGGCGTGGGCGCGCTGGGGGACGCCGCCTGCTGCTTCGCCGCGGACTCGCGCATGCTGCGCAGGCGAGAGCGGCGCGCCTCTGCGTCCTCCATGGCTACTCGGCGGGAGACAAGTACGGTCCGCGTCACGCGCTGTGGACGGAGAGCGCGCGCAGCGCGGGGAGGGACTAGGGACGGAAGGAACGCGGCGATAGAGCGGAAAGCTGAGGGAAACTATCTAAGTAAGGGCGATACCCGCCTGGTCCGTTTTTACGCGATGTGGGCGGAGAGCGCGCGCAGTGGCTCTGCGTCCTCCATGATGCTTGACAAGAGAGCTCGGTACGGCCAACCTTGAAAATCACTTCGTCGTCAGATAGTATTATGCACAACAAATTCAATACAACACAGGACCAGTAGCATAACTTTCTCTTTCAAAATACCATTAAGCAACACCCTGTGGGTTCGATTCCCGCCTGGTCCTCTTCTTGGTGTTAATTGTGCTCAGGAAAGTGCCTCACCCGGCCAAAATCAGTTGAGCGTCCTCTTTTTACAGTACATTCAACTCAGCTCTCAGTTGTCAGCTGAGCATCAACTCCCTTATCCTGCAGCACCCCTACACTGTCACTGCTCACCAAGGCACTTTCACCATCTTGCAATCCATCCAAACCATCTACACCGCTTTCAACCGCTTGTGCACGTAACACAACAGGCGGGCTTATATAGTCATCACGGCTCTGAACGAGGCAGAGCTCCAGGCGCTTGGGAGTGGGGGGAGTGGGAGAGGACTCGGTGCCGTCCAGAGGTGGAGAGCGGTGCTGCAAGGTTCGTGCGAGCACAGCCTGTAGGGAGAAAGAATGGGAGGAGAGGAGCAATCAGGTCAGGAAGGTTGCAATGCCACGGGTTGCCAATGCCAACTCTGCTGATATAGCTTGCCTCAAAGCCATGGACAGCCCAGTGCCACTGCCAGCTCTGCTGTTGAAACAGAAAAGCTAGACAAACATTGAAAACACAGCAGAGCATCAACAAACACAAGCACGAGGCGCAACAGCAGCTGCTCACCTGTAGAGATGCCACTGCTAGATCCGCTGCTCTAGCCAAGTCGTGAGGATACTTCTGATGAAAGGAGGGAGAGAGGGAGGGAAGGAGGGAGGGAAAGAGGGAGAGAGGGAGGGAAGGAGGGAGGGAAAGAGGGAGAGAGGGAGGTAAGGAGGGAGGGAAAGAGGGAGAGAGGGGGGAAAGGAAAGTGTGTGAGGCAGAGAATGGAAGGAGAGGAGCTGAGAGAATGAGGAGCAGATTGAGTCAATGTAGGGAAGGAGGGAGGGAAAGAGGGAGAGAGGGAGGGAAGGAGGGAGGGAAAGAGGGAGAGAGGGGGGAAAGGAAAGTGTGTGAGGGAGAGAATGGAAGGAGAGGAGCTGAGAGAATGAGGAGCAGATTGAGTCAATGTAACCAGAAGAGTGAGATGTAACCAGCACTGTGAGATGTAACCAGCACTGTGAGATGTAACACTGTGAGATGTAACCAGCACTGTGAGATGTAACCAGCACTGTGAGATGTAACCAGCACTGTGAGATGTAACCAGCACTGTGAGATGTAACCAGCACTATGAGATGTAACCAGCACTGTGAGATGTAACCAGCACTGTGAGATGTAACCAGCACTGTGAGATGCAGCACCGTGCTGCAACTGCCCCACTCACATGTGACCATCCAAGCAGCAATGCTGTCATCAAATCTCCTGTTCCCTGCATATGGGATGGCATGGGGGATGGCATGTGGGTTCGAATGTAGGACTGAGACGCAATGAGATGCTTGCCATGCGGCAACGGATTACATGAGACCATCCAAGCAGCAATGCTGTCACTAAATCCCCTTTTCCCTGCATGTGTGGCGTTGAAGTGGGATGGCATGGGGGATGGTATGGGGGAAGGCATGGGGGATGGTATGGGGGATGGGATATGTAAGGCGTGTCACATGGTATGTAAAACGGCATGAGGTATGGCATTTGAAAGGGCATGTGAGTTGGCAGTTGGGAGTGGCGCGCACTTTGCTGCCTGACGTGGCGCACTCAGCTTAGTATTTTCAATAATGGGAGCGAGCGCTGTATGCAGGTGGGAGTAACGCGCGCTGCTCTCTGGGGTGGCGCGCACTACTCTCCGGTAGTGGGAAGCGCGGCTGCTGATGTGCGCGCAAGGACTCAAACAGATCTGATGGTGCGTAGAAGATTGGGCGATCATAGGCGGGTCCAGTGCAACCCGTCAACGGATCGGTTTGACCCGACCCGATTGACATATGAATCTACGGGTCGCAAGTCGACTTGACCGGGTCCGGTCGGCCTGTCCTGGACCCGACCCGACGACCCAACCTGTCAGGTCAAAATGCCCATGTCTGATGTGGAATGGCATGTGAGGGGGCATGTGAAATGGCATGACAAGAGGCATGGTAAGTATAAGAGAAATTGCATAGCCATGTGCGATGTGCTGTTTCGAAGCTACAGGTGATCATGCATCTGGAACCCACCGGTGAGCAGGTGCGTGTAGAAGAGCAGCCCATTGGCCTCCACGCCCTCTATCAGCGCCCCCAGCTGCTCTCCATCCAGAATCTGCCCCTTCCACGTGGGGTACCCTGCATGGGATTGATGGGGCATGGAGCGGGCAGGCAAGCAGGGAACAGAGGGATGACAGACATGGGTTACCCTGCACACACGGGATGCATGAACCTCAAGGCGCTCGTGTCACAGAGTAGAGACAAGGGCCCCTCTTACCACTATATGCGCCAGTGTGGTTACCAACATTCACACCAGTGCAGTTGCCAACATTCGCACCAGTGTGGTTACCAACAGTCACACCAGTGTGGTTACCACCACCGGTGTGGTGACCACTATATGCACCAGTGCAGTTAACAACATGCACCAGTGCAGTTACCAACATGCACCAGTGCAGTTACCACCAACATGCACCGGTGCAGTTACCACCAACATGCACCGGTGCAGTTACCACCAACATGCACCGGTGCAGTTACCACCAACATGCACCGGTGCAGTTACCAACATGCACCAGTGGAGTTACCAACATGCACCGGTGCAGTTACCACCAACATGCACCGGTGACACAGCAGGGTGGGGAGGGCTTACCACTCTCACCAGTGTGGTTACCAGGTAACTAGCAGCATTGCACTAGTGTGGTTATTAGGTACCCAACACCATTGCGCCAGTTCAGTTACCAAGTAACCAACAGCATCGTACCAGTGTGGTTGGAGAGCTGCACGGAGTTGAGGGGGGCCACATCAAAGCCCAGCAGCTGCAGGGTGGGGAGTGGTTACCACTCTCGCCAATGTGCGGTTACCATGAAGCACCCATGTGGTTACCACTATGCACACCAACGCAGTTACCAACATTCTCGCCAGTGCGGTTGGAGAGCTGCACGGAGTTGAGGGGGGGCACATCGAAGCCCAGCAACGTGGGGAGGGCTTACCATTCTCACCAATATGGTTACCAGGTAACCAACCAACAGCATCGCACCAGTGTGGTTGGAGAGCTGCACGGAGTTGATTGGGTCCACATCGAAGCCCAGCAGTTGCAGGGGGAAGACCGCCGCCTTGTTGCCCACATACCCCTGGTGCATTCACGCATAAGCGGTGGGGGAGAAGTCGGGGGAGGGGAGTGCGGAGAGGGCGGCGGAAGGCGTGGGCGCGCCGGGGGACGCCGCCTGCTGCTTCGCCGCGGACTCGCGCATGCCACGCAGGCGAGAGCGGCGCGCCTGAGTGCACGAGCACGTGAGCGCACGCAAGCACGGCGCAAGTGCGCGTGAGCGCATGGAAAGCACGGTGCACGGGCGCGTGGGCGCACGGAAAGCAAAGCGCAGGATCGCGTGGGCGCACGGAAAGCAGGGTGCAGGAGCGCGTGAGCGCACAGAAAGGACGGCACACCTGCGTGTGGGCGCACGGAACGCACGGCGCAGGAGCGCGTGGGCGCACGTAAAGCAGGGCGCACGGGCGCGTGGGCCCGTGAGCGACTTACAGCAGGCTGTTGCTGTTGCGTTGCGCCATGGCGTTGATGCGGTTGCCGCACACACGCCCCATTGCACGATCACGTCACGCCTAGGGTTACACGGGCCCGATCGCACCGCGCTAAGGTGATAAGAGCGACTCGTGACAGCTGGAACGATGTGCGAGATACCTATCCGACGCTGCACTGCTAGGCTAGTCAGGTCAGGGTGTGCGGGGATAGCGAGGAGGAGCCTTATCTCTGCCCACGCATTCTAACTAGAAGCGTCACCATCTGAATCTAAACAAACAGCTAATTACGACCAACAGCTTAATACAATCCGAACGAACAGCTAATTAGAGTCCCACTCCCAAGGGGGAGTGTTCGATTTCTTCTGCTAGGTTTCAGCTTGACTCGATTAGCAAGGGTTCGAAGCGGTTGGAATGGGTGGTGTTCCATCTGGTAGGTGCTGTACTAAACAGTCAAGGGGGTGTTAGGTGGGATGTGATGGGATGGGGATTAGAGAAGCGACAAACTCTGCGTTGGGGGGTGGGAAGGGGGGGTGAAGAACTTGGTGCGTGCGACAGCGCGATATCGCAACTATCGCAAGCGCGCTGCGTCAATCGCTCGTTGCAACCTACACCGAAGGTTACAGCCGAGTCACTCGCTCGCTGCAACTTCACAACGACGGGAACAGTATAACATCCCCGCCAAGAGCTGCAATTGCGCCTCGATACAGAACTGTACCCATTTCGCCATTCAACACAAAGGCATAAAATGATGCCTAGCATTCGCTAGCGTTTCAGGTGTGTTGCAAATTTATCTTTGGGACTCAGGGAGAACAAAAGTTACTGTCTGGCCTGTAATCAGGTTACAAAGCACAATCAAAGTCGTTATTTTGGCCTAAAATAGGTCCACTATACAACGACTTTGATCGTCTTATTAGCATTCACCCTTTCCTTGTTGTGGTTATCTCGGGCATTCCTGCACCCCCTAAACCTCCTTAACAACGGAGGCTCAACCCCCCTTCTCTTCCTTGCACCTCCATCACTCCCTCTATGTGGCTCGCTGCCCTTCGTGTCTCTCTCTTTCTATCCCAACCCAATGGTGGAAGTGAAGCTTGTCTCGCTCAGCATCCAACCGATCGATTTGTTGGCGTAACCACGGCGCAGAATGGCAAAAATCGGTCACACTTGACGATCAGTCGAGCAAGAGCGATTGTCCCCGGCGAGATGACATCAACGGCTCTCTTTGCGCGGGCAAAGAAAAAGGTCGGTCGTACGAGTGCGTACGCGTTGGTGCATGTACAGTTATGTACATATGCGTCGCGTACGAGTGTGTACGGTAGGTAGACGCACTACGTGCATGAAGGCATACGTACGCATGCATACGTATGTCTACGCGCGTCTAGGTTAAATAGGTAGGTACCAGACATGCGAGTATTCATGCATATACGCATGCAGATGCGCACGCTCCTTAATATTCAGCTCATTATTCCAGAGCTAATTTATCATTGATTTGTTGACCTACATGCATAAGCTCCAGATTACACAAACATATTTGTCAACTTACATGTGTAGCTTGTAAATCAGCAAAATCGGTTCTGTTTACTGCCATGTGGAAAGCTGTAGTTTTGCAAGATACTGTTTTGCTGTTCTCGTTTTGGGCACAGCTGACGAGCGAAACCTATTCGCGCTGCGAATTTGTCACTGTAAATGCTGGCACATTCACTTTGGGTCGCGCTCGCTGTATCGGAGTGTCGGACTGCATATACGCAGGGCACCCAAACCGACTTTCCGACTTTGTCACTGCGCTGCCGACGTAGCACTGTGCAGAACGCTACTTCAGTACATCCACTTTGCACCACGAACCCACGTTCGTTCAGGGGGACCAAGCAAGCCAGAAAGTGCACGAAACGTGATGTGAGTGGGCTGCGCTCACAATCGCTCACCTAACTCCCACTCTCGTTTTTCAGACCTCGATTCTTATCATCCGCCACTCTATCTCAACTCAACATCCGAGCCTCTCTTCTAGATCGCCCTCCGCCATGGGGCATGGCATCACCATTTCGTAAGCCTTCTTTCTTAGTTGGAGTCACGCTATCGTAGTTTCGTTTTTCAGATCTCGTTTCAATCTCAAGCCATTCTACTCAAGAGCGCAGCCTCTCTTTTGGATCGCCGTCCGCCATGGGCCATGGCATTAGTATTTCGTAAGCCCGCTTTCTTACTCACGCTATCTTCAGTCTTGTTTCCCGTAATTTCGTTTTCTTTGTAGATTCCCTCTTCTTAGCTCCGTTTGTTCCGATTTCTGCTTGTCCTTGTTCCTGCTGACGTGTGCATGGTCATGGCAGGCACGCTGCAGCCAGCACAAGCTCGTCATCTGCCGTTCCAGGAGCCAGCAGCAATGCGGCATTCCACATCCAAAATCTGCCACCAAACATGGCGATTTCCGATTAGTTCCGCTTCGGGGCACCGATGCCACACTGCTGTCACGCCGATTGCCATGCCGCTGACACGCCAACGACAATGACGCCGCTGCTCATGGCGCTCTGGCGGCGCATGGCGCGGCCGTGGCGGACAGCAGAGGCGCATGGCGCGGCTCTGGCGGACAGCAGAGCCGGTGCCAGTGCAGCCTCCATGCGCCTCCAGGCGCTCAAATCACAACGCGTCGCCAGGTACAAGAAAAAGACTAAACACAACTGAAACATGAGAGCATGACAAAAAAAAAGAAGCATGTATATAAAAAACAATAAGATCCAATATAGATATTATTGGGAAAACAATTCGCCCTTTCCCCAAACCACTTATATCCTGCCTGATGCTTCGTCATCCCCTGCTAGGTGCCTTGAGACGATGAAAGGAGTGGAATTTTTCAATTGAAAGGAAAGAAACATCAAATTCTGTTTTCCCATATTATTATTACTTGCCCCATTCATTTCCCCACCGAACTTACCCTGCCCATTCTCTCTCCCCCCTCCTCTTACTCTGAACCCGAAACCCTACAACCAGGCTACCCCTTCCAGCATGAGCCACTGCAGCACGTGGTGTTGATGGCGTATGGGGTGGGTCGGCCACCCCATGGACGCCGGCTCAGCCCTCCACGCGGGCGGCTCAGCCCTCCACGCGGGCGGCTCAGCCCTCCACGCGGGCGGCTCAGCCCTCCACGCGGGCAGCTCAGCCCTCCACGCGGGCGGCTCAGCCCTCCACGCGCCGCTGTCGAGCACCTCGCCTCCTCGCCTCGCCGCCCCATGGTGAGAGAAGAACGGAAACAACGACTAAAGAAACAACCAGAACAAGAACTAAGAACAGAAACAAGAACATACAAGAACTAAACATAGTATCATTCATATGATACCCTCAACCCTTCTTGAGACATGTTACCCATCCCCTTGTCTCTCCCCTCTGTTTTGATTCATGTGACCCATCCCCTCCTCTCTCTCCTTTGTTTTTAGTCATGTAACCCACCCCCTCAACTCCCCTCCCCTTCCCTCCCTCCCCCTGTTTCAGCAGCTGCCAGAGCAGCGCGTGGTGTGACGGATGGTGCAGCACGGAGTGGGGGTGCAGGGCATAATTTTGTGAGGTGTTTCACTCACCCCCTCCCCTCTGTCCTCCCCTTTCCAGCAGGTGCCAGTGCTGCGCATGTTGTTTTGCGGTGTGTCACACACCTCCTCCTCTCTGTCCTCCCCTTTCCAGCAGGTGCCAGTGCTGCGCATGTTGTTTTGCGGTGTGTCACACACCTCCTCCTCTCTGTCCTCCCCTTTCCAGCAGGTGCCAGTGCTGCGCATGTTGTTTTGCGGTGTGTCACACACCTCCTCCTCTCTGTCCTCCCCTTTCCAGCAGGTGCCAGTGCTGCGCATGCTGAGGTGTGTCACTCACCCCCTCGTCTCATACCTCCCCTTTCCAGCAGGTGGGAGTGCAGGGCATAATGTTTCGAGGTGTCTCACTCACCCCCTCCCCTCTGTCCTCCCCTTTCCAGAAGGTGGCAGTGCAGGGCGCATAATGTTTTGAGATGTGTCACTCATCCCCTCCTCTCCTTCCTCCCCATATTTCCAGTTTGTTTGTTTTAGTTTGATTGCTTGCTTGTTCTTGTTCATGTGTGCATTCTTTGCTTAAGGGGCGGTAAGGGGGCATGGGGAACGTTGAGACATCCAGGCCACCCTCTCCCCTCCCCTTTCTGCCAGGTACCAGTGCAGCGCTTGCCTATTTGAGCATGTCTCACCCACCCCCTCCCCTCTTTCCCCACTTCCCCCCTTCTGCCAGGTGCCTTCCCATGCCCTGCATGGTGCCTTCTCATGCCCTGCCCGGTAAATTCTCATGCCCTGCATGGTGCCTTGGCATGCCCTGCCAGGTGCATTCGCATTCCCTCATGGTGCCTTCTCATTTCCTGCCAGGTAAGAGGGTCAGGGGGTTTAGGGTGCTCCCCCCGCTCACTTGCCCTGCTCCCCCCGCTCACTTGCTCTGCTCCCCCACCCCAACTCCTCCCCTCCCCTTGTGCAGGTGCCAGAAAGATGCATGACTGTATGAACACAAAAGCAAAACAATGTACTAGGGCACATAAAAATCATATGCCTTCTCATTCCCTCAAGGTGCCTTGCCGTTCCCTGCATGATGCCTTCTCATTCCTTGCATGATGCCATTT